CTCCCAGCCTAAGAGTGAAGTAAAATGATCTATTTGCGATAATAATCTTGGACCTTAGTAAGTACTTGATACTTGTTTATCATTATTATAATGACTCATCGGATGGTTCCTCAGTCTTGCTGAGCAGGCTTTCTGGAGCCACACAGAGGAAAGAACATGGTGTGACAAGGCTTTAGCTCAAGTTCCAACTCTACTTCCACCCCACATGGCAACCCAGGCAGGTCACTTCTCAGAGAAGTCTCCTTGGAGCCTCAGTTTCCTCTTCTGGAAAATGGGATGGGGAACACCCCAGCTCCTGGGGCTGCCGTGGTGTTCCCATGCGCTGGGGGTGTGAACATGTTTCTTGAATGCCAGTGTGGAGCACCGGGGGCTGAAGAGGGAAGAAGCGGGGCAGCAGATTATGTAAGGGCCTGGCCAGAGGAAAGAGCTGGCACCATCTCCTGTTCTGTCAGGCTTCTGAAGGGTCAAGCCACTGTCCTTGAGGACAAAGAGGAACCAGCCACCTGTTGCCAAGTGACAGTGCTGGACTAGGGGGTTTCTCTGCTGCTTGGGCCGGGTGATGTGTGGTGGAAGATGGCCAGAAGACATTTCCTGGGGCCTCCACAGTCCATGTCCTCCCTCTAGGCCTTTGACCTCGAGGTCTCAGAGAAGCTTAAATGGGCTGCTTCAACACCTACTTTTTGTTTTTATAAAACAGTGTGTCAGGACTTAGAAAAAAGCTCTGACCCGTACTATAGTGAACCTCCGGGGACTGGTTTGTTTTGATGAGGTCTGGCATTTTTCCCAAGGATAAAAGATGGGTGGAGGAATTGCCAGTCCCCACCCAGGGTCTGAGGTCCCAGAGTGGGAAAAGGTGTTGCTCTGCCCCCTTCTAGGTCTCTCTCTGGTCTGAAGCCTGTTACACCTGCCAGCTCTAGCCTCAGGGAGGGTGGGAAGGAGGCCTGGAAGACAGAACCTTGGCTTATGATGAGCCGGCAGACCCTGGGTGTGGACCCCAGCCTGTCCTTTGGGCTGTAAAAAACCTGAGAAACAGGCCACGCCCTATGCCTAATAAGAATCCCAGGCCCCACCCCCCTAGTCCCACCTCCACTGCATGCGCTGCCCAATGAACAACAGGCCCCGCCCCTAGGTCTACCCAATGAGTGGCGGACCCTGCCCTCACCCATTCCCTGGGCTTCTAAGCGCTGGGGCTCCACACCCAGGGAGCTGGCGCTCTGCGCTGTGCGGATTTCGCCTGTCCTGCAGGCTCATCTCTGTGGGCCCAGTCTCAGAGCCACTGAGAGCCCACTTGGCTGCCTCCTTGAGCGCCCTCCCCACTCATCGGTGGCACTGGAAATGGCCCACGTTGCCCCACATTAGGCTTAAGAGTCTGGGGCTGAGCCCTCCATCTGCTGCGCCAGTGGCTCCGCGCCTTCCCCGCCCCACTGCCCTGCCCTGAGCTGCAGTTTCTGACCCTTGGTGACCGCCTCGATCATCCTGAGCACCACAGGCTCCCGCGTGGCACGAAGAACTGCCGCTGTCCACGCCTTGGCTTTGTATGTGCTCTAACCCCTCTGCTGTAGACGCCTGAGTATGACCCGCATTCCACAGCCGGGAGGAGTGGCCCATCTGTGTCTAATTAGATTCCTCTTCTTTCCCTTGCCTCCCCTTCACACACACTTCCTACACCTCCCTCCACCTCTCACCTCCTGACCCCACTGTGGGAATTCCTACATTCCATGTGGCAGGAGCTTCTGGTTCTGACAGGCTGCTCTGTGACTGCTCCAACCACGGGGTAAAACACGTGTCCACTGATCCAGTGTCTTCCTTCTCATGGCTCCCCCTCTTCCATGTCCCTGGATAGAGAATTGTGATTCCATTGACCCCTCTATTCACAGGGCTAATTGTTTCCATGCATCCCTCTGAGTTGGAAGAACAGGAAAGGAGAATGTGAAATGCAAAACTACGTTGACTCCTAACAGAGCTCGTGGAAGGAGCTTGATAGAGTCAACGGTCAGCTTTGTTAGTGGCTATGTGAACAGGAGCACAGTTCAGAAACTGGCTGTTGCTCCCTGTTGGTGACAGTTGGCACCACTGAGGCATTTTATTTCTGTGCATGCATGCAGCCGATGGCGGTGCTAGAAGTAGGGGTAAGGCTCCAGCCAAGTGTAATCTTGCTCCTGCTTCACCAGATAAGGAGAGCACCAGAGAACGGGATGAAGAAAGCCTTCGCTCCTAGGTACTGGGGGCAGGGCTCTTTTCCTCACCCTTCTCCGCCTCTGTCTTGCTCTGGCCTAGAAATGGTCATCCAGGGGCGCCTGGGTGGCTTAGTCGGTTAAGCGTCCGACTTTCGCTTAGGTCATGATCTCGCAGTTCGTGGGTTCGAGCCCCGCGTCGGGCTCTGTGCTGACTGCCAGCTCAGAGCCTGGAGCCTGTTTCAGTCTGTGACTCCCTCTCTCTCTGACCCTCCCCTGCTCACGCTGTCTCTCTCTCTCCTAGAAATAAATAAAACATTAAAAAAATTAAAAAAAAAAAAAAAAAAAAAAAAAAAAAAAAAAAAAAAAAAAAAAAAAAAAAAAAAAAAAAAAAAAAAAAAGAAATGGTCATCCAGGCTCAGGAAGGCTACTTCTGGCCAGGCATCAGCTCCGTCACGGAGGACAGAGTAAACAGAACCCTTGACATGAGAGTTCATGAGACACTGAGAGCCAGACCTGCTAAGCCAGTGTGGCCAGCCCAAAGCAGGATGGCCCAGCCTGTGCCCTTGCCGAAGAGCAAACAAGGGCCAGTTTAATTGCGTGAGCTTTTCTGGAAACCCTCACCATGCCTGGCTCTGTGCTGGGCACTGGGCACACAAGGGACAGCCCGTTTGGATGGGACACAGCCCTTCCCCTCCTGGTGCAAATGGGTGTAAGATGTGGGCACAGTAGACTACACCCCTTATATAATCAGGAGAGAACACAAAGTTAAGGAATTTCAGAAGAAAGTGAGAACGTTTGCTGGGCAACTAGAAGGGCTTCTCAGAGGTTGGGCCCTGGAGTGGAGCCTCATGCAGGGGTGATTACAACCAGCAGGGAAGAGGCAGTGGAGGAGCATCTGGGTGAAGGTTTGGGGGCTGAGGTGAATGGGGGTGATGTGTGACAGGTAGGGCTGGGGCTGGATTGCCCATGGCCTTGCTTAATTCTCCCTCTGCCGTTGGGTGCTGGGTGACCTGAGTTTAGTCACCTTTCCTCTCTGGGTCTCACTTTTCCCATCTGTCAAGTGGAAGAGTTGGCCTAGAATCCATGATTTTCAGCTTTTTCAGACCTGTCACCTCCATTTCATAACAAATACTTTTAATGTCTCAAAGGTATAATATAACCTTTCCACAACTTCACTATGTGTATAAACTTGAAAAATTTTATATATACAGGTGTATATATCATACTCTGATGATAATATAAAGGAAAAATAAGAGGAAATGATTTATAATAAAATATTGTGTATGTCCATCTGTAGATGCTTACAGCCACAGTGGAAAACATAATGAAGTAGTCAGGTGTGCACACCATAAATAAAACACCATTGTCCCTCAAATATGGTCCGAAACAGGTACATTGTATGAGTCAGTGGCATTTTTCTCAGACTTATATTTTCCTGAGAAGTGAACAATTCTCAGTGAAATTCCAAAGAAAACGAGTTCAGTCTCCCCTCAGTTTACATGGTAGTGGTGTTCTAAAATACTCAGTCTAGGGGCGTCTGGGTGGCTTAGTCGGTTAAGCGTCCGACTTTCGCTTAGGTCATGATCTCATGGTTTGTGGGTTTGAGCCCCGCATCGGGCTCTGTGCTGACTGCCAGCTCAGAGCCTGGAGCCTATTTTGGAGTCTGTGTCTCCCTCTCTCTCTGACCCTCCCCTGCTCATGCTGTCTCTCTCTCTCTCCTAGAAATAAATAAAAATATAAAAAATAAAATAAAATAAAATACTCAGTCTATTAACACTGTACAAAAAATCATTTCCTGGGGCACCTGGGTGGCTCAGTTGGTTAAACATCTGACTTCAGTTCAGGTCATGATTTCATGGCTTGTGAGTTCAGATCCCCCATAGGGCTCTGTGCTGACAGCTCGGAGCCTGAAGCCTGCCTTGGATTCTGTGTCTCCACCTTTCTCTGCCCCTCCCCTGCTCATGTTCTCTCTCTCTCTCTCGAAAAATAAACAAAAAAATTTGAAAAATAATTTCCTGTTTATACACAAAAGGGAATTAAGTTGTAATTTTAGGCCATTATAAAAATGATTTTGGGGGCGCCGGGGTGTCTCAGTCGGTTGAGTATCTGACTTCGGCCCAGGTCATGATCTCACGGTTTGTGGGTTCGAGCCTCGCATCAGGCTCTGTGCTGACAACTCGGAGCCTGGAGCCTGCTTCAAATTCTGTGTCTCCTTCTCTCTCTGCCCCTCCCCTACTCACACTCTATCTCTTGGAAATAAACATTTAAAACAATAGTAAAAAAATAATCTTCATCCACATGATTGTCTGTTTGAGCATGTGAAAATTTATGGGTGGCGAAGGGGTCCTGGGACTTCCCTGTGCATTTCATTCAGGGCGTTTAGATGCAAGGATCCCACCTATTGAGAACCGCCCCCCCCCCCACAGATCTCCTTATCCCCCAGCCCCAGGGTGTTGCCGGCACCTGCATAATCTTTACGCTCTCTCAGTTCTGAAGTTCCCTAATTCTGGATTTCATTATGGTTTACTCAACAAACTTTTGTGGGGTGCCCACTATGTCCTTGCCCCAGGCCTTGGCAGCGACCAAGCAGCCCCAGCTTCTGCTCCTGTGCAGCCAGGCTTAAATCTGGAAGGACTTCAGCTATCATCACCCTTCCATTTTATAGAGGAGGAAGCTGAGGATCAGAGAGGGCAGGCATCACGTGCCTTCGGCATGACACAGCCTCCTGGGGACCAACCAGAACCCGGTCCTCAGGGAGGCACCACAGAGTGGATCCACAACCTTCTCTCCACTTATCTTCTCTCCCTCCTCCGCCCCCTGCAGTGCCCGCTGCCCTGACACTGGACCCGGGCACTGCCCACCAGCGCCTGATCCTGTCCGACGACTGCACCATCGTGGCCTATGGCAACCTGCACCCACAGCCGCTGCAGGACTCGCCAAAGCGCTTCGACGTGGAGGTGTCGGTGCTGGGCTCTGAGGCCTTCAGCAGCGGCGTCCACTACTGGGAAGTGGTAGTGGCGGAGAAGACCCAGTGGGTGATCGGGCTGGCCCACGAGGCGGCCAGCCGCAAGGGCAGCATCCAGATCCAGCCCAGCCGTGGCTTCTACTGCATCGTCATGCACGACGGCAACCAGTACAGCGCCTGCACAGAGCCCTGGACGCGGCTCAACGTCCGCGACAAGCTCGACAAGGTGGGCGTGTTCCTGGACTACGACCAAGGCCTGCTCATCTTCTACAACGCCGACGACATGTCCTGGCTCTACACGTTCCGCGAGAAGTTCCCGGGCAAGCTCTGCTCCTACTTCAGCCCCGGGCAGAGCCACGCCAATGGCAAGAATGTGCAGCCGTTGAGGATCAACACTGTCCGCATCTAGGACGGCGCAGGGAGCCCACAGGGACCGCCTGGGCCATGGCCACCAGCAAGGGCTCTGCCCAGGGGGCAGAGGGCTGGACTCCGGTCCAGTGCAGCCCCTCTACCCCACCCCATGAGGTCTCAGGCCGGTTGTTTACCCTTCAGCTTCCGTTTCCCTGTCTGTGTATTGGCAGTCGTGCTCCATGGTTCCTAAACTCGATCAGCATCGATGTCCTGTAGTTCTGACCTTGACGGGGAGGCGGCTTTGGTCCCAGGATGTGACATGGCTTCTCCTCAGGGCAGCCCCTGCCCAGCCCTCATCCCCATCCTCGCAGGGGCAGGGGGACCTTCCCCCTGTCTCCCTGCTGTCCACATGCCCTGACCTCAGGATGTGTCAAGAGGGTTGCCTGCAGTCGGCAGCCTGAAAGATACATAAAACCCTCTTCTTGCCCAGCACCCTGCCATGGCCATTTTACCCTTGACTCCAGCCCACCATGGACATAGGCAGCAGCTGGTCCTAGGGTTCCTCAGAACCACCTCTCCTTCTACCTCTGGACCAAGAGCTTTATGGTTCCTGTTTTTCCCACTGACCTGCAGGTAGAGATGATACTGTGGGAGGCACCCGGTCACTGAACCCACGTGTTGCAGTGACTGTGCCACCACCTTCCAGCCCACGGGTCCAAAAGCAGGATGATGGCACGCCAGGCTGATGCAGAGCCCGGTAGCCTAAAGGCAGCCGCGGGACAAGCATCACTGGGTGATGGAGGTCCCCAGAGGCTTGCCTAAGGGTCCAAGCAGGCCTCTGTGACCAGGCTTAGGGTGAGGGGAGGCTGCAGGGAGCAGTTGTCTCAGCCGAGCACTGGGACAGGCTGTTGGCTGGGACTTCCCAGCAGGCTTGGCATCTGTCTCAGCTAGGATCCTGTTGCAGAAAACAAGAGCTGCTTTAGCTAGTTTAATTTGACAGCATTTATTATCACGTCCCTGATTTGCAAAATCATTGGAAGGGCTGGAGGAGCAGACTCACTGCTGAATTTCCAGGAACGACCCAGCCACCGGATTCATCATGTCTATATCCCGATCAGAAGCGCTGCTCCCACCTGCAGGAAGCCAGTATGTCAGGAAGCTACTGCGACCGCAGGACTGTGTCCCCTCCGCCACTGGCCGGGCCAGCAAATGGGTGTCCTGAGGCCTGCCTCTCTCCCACTCAGTTTAACTCCCAAATCCAAATCTCCATGAGGGATACTGTTAGGGAAACATAAATCAGATCCAGAACTTTGGCTGCAATGGTGTCTGGGAAATGTAGTTTTCTTCTTTCCAACCACAGACCTGCAAAAAGGCCCAGAAGGAAGTTTGGGTGTCGAACAAGCCCATCCACAGTTTCTGTCACTGGAGTTCACCTCCAGATCTTGGCTTTGAAGCAGCAGAGCCTCTAGGTGTCCTGCTCATGGCCCTGGCCCTGCCCAAGGACAAGAACCCAAGAGGTGAATCTATCTGCAGGACTGGCTGAATGTCTCAAGCCTTGGCTTCACTCTCTAGTCCTGGAGCCTAGATTCTGAGCTCGTGGGGTCCCTGACCACCCGCATCCTCAAGGAGCCAGACTAGCTGAACTTGGGGGATCCCACCCACCTCGCAACTGCTGCCCACTGGGGTCCCCCTTGGACAGGAGGAATCCTCAATCTCACCTCACCCCTTCATCCTCCAGAAGCTGGGCCACCCCCAGCAGTATTTTTATTTTAAATGTTGCCCATTTTGTGAGTTATGATGAATTTGTATTAAAGTTACAGAACATCAGTGGTCAGTTCTATTCATTTTGACAAAGGGCCACCTTTTCTGTCCCAGGCGAGTATTCATGTATTAGCATGGCTAATCCACAAAGCAAACCTTCGGCTGGCATGTAATATTATGCCTACTTTACAGAGGTGGAAAATGAGGTTCAGAGAGAAGACATGACTTGCCCACAGTCCCATGCCCCATGCTGGTAAGTGGTGGAACTTGGATTAGAACAGAGTTCTAAAGCCAGCACTCATGTCACAACTTACTAGACAGGGAAGACTGGCATTCTGCCTGGAGGAGGGGGTCATGGTAGCCTTGGGAGCAGAGGGGAGCTCATGAGACAGTGCCATGGTCTCTTGAATTCCACAAACCTGGCCTTGAATCCAAGCTCCACTGCTGTGTGACTTTAGAGAAATGGCTTAACCTCTCTAGACCTCAGTTTTTCCACAGAGAAAATAGAGATAATAACACCCATCTCATAGGATTTATTGGTAAGCTGCTAAATGCAGTGCACTTAGGGGGGTCCTGCCTCCAACCCCAGCTGCCTCCAGTGTCAGGGCCCTAAGGCACCTGAACTTAAGGAGTCTATCTTCCTCCTTAAGCCTTATGTGGAGTGTGGGACTACCTAAACCAGAAATGTCCCCAGGTCTGCTGTGTAGAAGGAGGTCCATCCTATCTCTGACTCGTGGGAAAGGAGTCTGACAGCCAGGGCCCTGCATATGGACAGATGAGCTGTGCACACTATAAGTAGCAAAGTCCTGGGTCCCGCACAGCTGGGAAACAGGAGTCCTGAGCCCAGTCTTAGTTCTGTGCTGACTCATTTTGTTCCCTCAAGGCCCTTTCCTCAGTCTCCTCCCCTGCAGATGAAGGGGGTTACACTGGATGCTCCCTGAGGCTCCGGATGGATCTTCACTTATACCTGGAGCTAGAGAAAGAAGAGAAGGAACCACCCCAGTCATTGAATTGCTTGGGGTTCTAGAAAGAGGGGCATGAACAAGGATTGGGGGGATTGGGAGGAGCAGAAGGAGAGGTCTCTGATTGGTTGATGGAGAGCAGCCAGTTTGGGGGGAGGTGATTTTGAGACTAGAGTATCCCCAACCAGCCTACCCCGCCCCATGCTCTCAAATCCCTCTGCTGCTCCAAAGCCACATCCCTCCATCTTTGCTCAGTGCATCTGTCTTCTGGGGGAGAAGCACCCCCTCCACAGTCCTTTCTACCCTTCCCCTACTCAGCCTTAGCACAAGGTCCAAGGAGTGCTGGCCACTTCCCAGTCTTTACTCCCCATTTCCTGGTGTCTGAGAATAACTATAGGGACCTAATTTGCACACCCAACTTGAGACTCTGGGAAATCAGGGCATCTCCCAAGGTATGAAGTGTCCAAAGAATTCCTGAATGAAGGAATCTGGAGTTGTCAGGCTGATACCAGGAATCCCCCATTTAACACAGGCAGGCAAAGAGGGGAGGTAAAGGCATCCCAGCGTCGGGGAGGGAGGAGGAATCAGCGAAGGTCTTGCCCAGAGCAGAAGAGAACTGATAGGAAGACAGTATCACTGTTTGGATCCCAGTTTGTGGTCAGCAGGCAAAGTGCTGGCACTTATCTAATATCAAGACAAGCCCATGAGGCTGGTATCATTATCTCAGTGTTTAGTGGAAAAGCATTAGCTCCCAGGGGACCCACAGCCAGTACTTAAAAGAGCTGGAAATAGACCCAGGCCCATCCAAAGCTAAAGCCAAAGTCTTCCCTGGACCTCCTGGGAAATGCTTTAGTGACAAGGAGTGGACACCAAAACTGATCCCCCTCGGGATTCAAAGTGGCACCTTAACCCTGGCTCCATTCCATTGTGCGCTTGTGCAATTATGAATCAAGCCTCAACTTCGAGCCAAGCCCCATGTGTCTCTCAGGGTCAGGAGTAGACTCAAGAAGGCACTATGTGACCTTAAGCAGGTCCTTTTCTCTCTCCCTGGGCCTCAGTTTCCCCATCTCTATTGGGGAGGGGCTAAGAATCTAGTTAATTGATTGCCAAGGTTCTGGCTCTGATTGGCCAGGATTCTGTAAGTCTAAGACAGGGTTTTGTCCTAGTCAGAACCTAACAAAGCCATTGCTCTGGATCTTTCTCTCTGGGGTGGTAGCAGGAACAGAAAACAACAGAGATGAGGTCTCCTGGCAGCACAGAGCTCAGCCAGAAAGGTCATCCCAGGAGGCTGACTGCTCACACCTGGGCACCATTCTTGGCTTCCTCTCATCCTGCCTGGGTCCTGACTCTGTTCACCGTCCCCAAACCCTTCACCAGGAGGTCAGTTGCAAAGGGCCAAGTGACAGGCTTAAATGAAGGGGGCTTGGAGAGGAGTAGGGTTGGTTGGGGGTGGGGAGGGAAGTAGTGGGTGCTGGCCAAGGTGCTGAATCATCATCCTTGCCCACCAGGGAGTGGTTATTTCTCCTTACTCTGGGACACCCATGATTCTACTCTGTCTCCCTGGGAATCCTGACCCACCCCTGAAGAAGGGGTGAAGGGAAGCAGAGCAGAAACAGAGATAGAAAGAAAGAGAGATGTAGTCAGGAGGCATAACCTCCAAAAAATATATATATATAGCAGGAAGGGATACTTTTATTTTGAAATGTGTTCATTTTCCTTTGTTTTTCCTTTCATCTGGATGAAATGACAGTATGTTTGTGCTTGTTTTCATCTTTACCCTGGGCGCAGAATAGAACAGTCTTTTATCTTCTTTCACAAATTTTGACAGTTCTACTCTATTTCTGACTATTTCAAAATGCCCCCCACTCACCGCAGGAATTAGATGAAGTATGAGAAGGATTGCCACTTTGGACCAGAGGCCTAGGGGCTTCCTACTCTGATGTCATGACAAGGGGGATCTATCAAGAGGCCGGAACCAGGGGCGCAAAGCCAGGTCCTGTTGAGTTCCCCAAAACTGTGATCCTGAGTGTGATCAAGTCTGAATGCTGATAGGGCCTGGGGGATCCTGAGGCCCAGAGAGGGTTGTTTCTAGCTCAAGGCATACAGTACCTGGCAGAGCCAAGACCCAAACCTAGGTGTCCTTGTTCCCAATCAGTACACAGGAGAGGAAGAGCGGCCAGGTGAGAAGCCCCCACCCAGGCAAGGAGAAGGAGCACAGAAGACCAGCTGGAAGGGGGCTGGAGCAGGGCTGAGGAGGGAGGCATTCAGAAAAGGATCTCACGTCTAAGGTCACGTCTAAGGTCTGGGGGAGGGTTCCCCCAGAGTCAGTGCCTGCGGTCCTCAGAGAGGAGGAGAGAACAAAGGGATCACAAGGTTGGGAAGTCCTCTCTGAGATGGAGACGGCCCAATTGGGCATGTCAGTAGAATCACAGGATGGCTGCTGAGAGACCATTGACATCAACCCCATCACTTTACAGAGAAGAAAACTGTGACCCAAATGAGAAGACACCAGCCTGTGGGCCATAGCCAGGTATGACCCAGCCTCCTGCATCCCAACTATTGGCTCTTTTCACACAACCTTTAATCTCCCCTCCAGTGGATTCTTGTGCCTCCTCCCACCCCTTGGGAACCTGGAGCCTTAGCAGAAGGAAAAAGGGAGTGGCCAGGGCCCCCACATCCCCAGGCACCAGGAGCAGAGTACCTTTCTCTGTCCTTTTCCCCAAGAACAAGGGATAGTCAGCCTGGACCCCAATAACCCTTCTTCAGGGGAAAGCCAGTTGGTACCTGTCTACACCTGGTACCTCCCTTGCTGGCAACATGGTCTGGAGCCAGCATCAGCCACAGTAGGAACAAAGCCACCTGGGCAGCTGCTGGAGACAGAAGGGGTTCCAAGTAAGTGAGGGCATCAGGGGCAATGGCCCTGGGGGGTCCCCTGATTCCATGGCACTAGAGTCAGCCCTGGGACTTCAGTGATTTGGAGGTTTTGGAATCTTTGTTCCCAGGAAAGAGGCTTTTGCTGCCTCACTCCCTGTAGGCTGAGGGGCCAGACCTGCTTCCTCTGCCTACCTCAAACCCCAGGCAGAAGCCCCTCCCTCAACAAACTGCCAGATCTACAAGCCAGGAATGAGGTCCTGGGGTCCAGCAGCTCTGTTCTTGCCACTGGGAGAAGGGAGATGCAGGTAAGGGCCCAGAAAAAGCAGAGCCGGCTGGACCTGTGTGAATCTCCCAGGTGTGGGATGCAGGGTCGCGACCTGGGAGAGCCTTGCGAAACCTGGTGTAGACATTGGCTCATGTGACCCTGGACAGACCCCTTCATGTCCACCGTAAGAGTGTTCATTCCTCGTTGGTTCTGCAAAAGGGATGGGTGGCCCTGGCCGATGGGGCCGCCTCCGGCTCTCAGGTTCTAGCTCGACGCTGCCTGGTGGAGTTTGCCCCACAATGCCCTTCACCTTCCCTTTTCTTCGGTCACACTCCTGAAATATCCTCCTCTACCCCTTTCCTTCTCCATCCAAACACACCTTCCTGTGCTCCTCAGGGTAACTGGCTTCTGGTTTGCGCTGCGGCTGCCCTTCCCATCCTCTGTGCGTTCCTAATACAGGCACTCCCGAAAGAGTGGCCAGACATGGGATTTCAGGCCCCACACCAAGCAGGTAGGCAAACGTTTATAGGAAGGATAGGAAGAAAAAGGGGGCTTTTTTATGCCTCTATTTGGGCAGCATGGGAGCACCTGTCGCTGGGTGGGCACAGACCCGGCCAGCAGTGGTGGTGACTCTCGTGTACCCAGACAATGCAGGCGCTGTTCTTGCCCAGCCTTCAGGCCTCGCTCCCTGTCCCCAACATCCTGACACAGAGTGTCGGTGATGACATGGCTTTTCCGTTTCCAGGGGCTGCCTGTGGAGAGAAAGGCTGCAGAATATTAGGATCCCAAATGGAGCGTGTTAAGCACATTTTGGTCCTTAACACTTCTGCTTTTGTCACACTCATCCCACTGCCTGGAATGCCCTTGCCCTCCTTTTTCCTCCCGTGGAAATCTTCGTCCTTCATCCACTTAAGGTGCGGCTATCTCAGGCTTTCAGACCCAGCAGAACTCAATCTCCCACCACC